TACCCTATAGTACAGTACAGCAGGTACACGGACCACCGTCTTACAGTTAGTCACGGTACAAGTTTATGCACTGGTGAAATATAAGCCTCCATTGTTATGTTCTTTGGCTATAGGTCCGGAAGTGAACTCTGGCGGGTACTGTGTTGGTATGTGGAGAGAGAGAGAGAGAGAGAGGATAAACACACACACACACACACACACACACACACACACACACACACACACACACACACACACACACACACACACACACACACACACTTCCAGGTATTTCATTCACCTTTTGCCCGTCCTTGTGGTTTCCTTGCCATGGTGTCACGGTCTGTGGAGGAGGAGGAGGAGGAGGAGGAGGAAGGAGGAGGATGGAGGGGGTGGGGTGACGTGGGAAGAGTTGTTAGGTGAGGGAGTGAGTGGTAGGGAATGCCTAACCTAACCTCACCACCCTTTCCCCTCCATCTCCCTCTCTCTCCCTCATTCGTTATCATCTTTATTCTCCTTCTTTATCACCCTCTTGAAGATCCTCCCTTAAATCAGTCCTTCCCCTTAATCCCTCTTCCTCCACCTCCACCTCTTCCTCTTCCTTTTCCTGTTCTTTCCCCATTATATCATCTTCTCAACATACCCCTTTCTTCCCTTACCATCACTTCCTATTCCTCCTCTCCTCTCTTCTCTTCCCCATCCCCCCACCATCACCCCCCTCTTGTCCTGTCTCTCCTCCTCTTCCCCACCATCACCTATACCTCCCACCTCCTCTCCCCCCTATCACCACACCACCCACCACGACATAGTTCACCCAGGATCGACAGAGTGACCCAGAGGCAGATAGAAGCGGCTTGAACTTGAACTTAGGGTCGTGTGATGAATCGTTTTAGCTACCGTGTATAATTAGTAGGTGGTGGTGGCAGGTATAGGTCTGGGTGGGTGGGTGGGTGGGTGGATGAGAAGGAGGTATAATGGAAAATACTTGCTACCTTTTCCACAATGGGTTAGTATTTGCATTATTGCTGTTTTACTTGCAGGGAGTTATGACCCAGCTGAAGGAAACCTATTTTGTTTTTGTTTTTCTCGTGTGTGTGTGTGTGTGTGTGTGTGTGGTATTCAGTTTACACACACCAGCCAGTATACGGTACACCAGGTATACACACCACCATCACCTTCAAACAGCTGGGATTTCGAAAACCTGCGTTACATCTACTTATAACTGTAAATGAGAGGGAACACTACGTAACAACAGGTGCGTGTAAACTGATAATATTTTCTCTCATCGCCTCTCTCATACGAATTTAATCAGTGTTTAGTTAACTACGAACTTCCATTATCGTACATCTGGTGAACTCCCTTTGTTTACTTTCGCTAGACGTCAGATGTAGAGTGGCAGCTGACAGGAGGATGGAGGGGAGGGAAGGGGAGGGAGGGGAGGGGAGGGGAGGGAGGGGGGAGAGAGAGACATAATAATAATAATAATAATAATAATAATAATAATAATAATAATAATAATAATAATAATAATAATAATAATAATAATAATAATAAAAGTAAATATTATCAAAGACGTGAAGGAATATGAGTTAAGTTATTTTCGTGTGTGTAAATAAAGGGATGACGGCTGTTCATTTTGTTGTCTTACGTAAAGCGATGTTTGCTAATCCCTCCTTCTCCCTCCCTCTCCTTGTCTTAACGTCGCCTGTATCTGGTAGGATCTGCTCACACACACACACACACACACACACTAATGCACCACCCTCGTCATCGCCACCTCCTGCCACCGGCAGCCCCCCACCCACCTCGCGCAGTCCACCACTACAACAAAATTCAGCCCATAAGAGCCCGCACCGATAGACATAAGAAAAGCACCATCCCATCTATTGTTAAAATAATAAACAACTCCTGATTTATGTACTGTACAGCCCTGTAAATGTATTCAATGCACATTATATCATTATGTCTAAATCAAATGTAAGTCTGTATATTTTCAGCCACCGGCTGCAACTCTATTAATAAACCGTTTATTATTATTATTATTATTATCTACACACACACCAATGAGTGACCCGACCCCACGTGTGTTGCAGCGACTGTGGGCGGTGTTGTTGTATTTTTGTATACCTTGGACAGGTGTTTGGTCACACTCGTCGGGAGTGTTGACAAGCTAGTGACCTCTCCATCCAGGGTCATAGGGTGAGGGGTGAGGAGAGGAGGAGAGAAGGACAGAGAGTATGAGGAGAGGACTGGAGAGAGGAGGAGGAAAATGAAGAGAAGTCGTTGAGGAAATATGAGGAGAGGAAGAAAGAACTAAAAAAAACAGAAGGGATGAGCAGGTGAGGTGAGAAGGGATGATGAGGTAAGGAAGACTACAAAGAAGGAAGAAGGAAGAGGGTGTGAGAGCAGTGTGGTGATGGTGGTAGTGACTGGGTGATGGTGAGCGGGTATGGTGCCTATAGTGTCCTCGTCATGGTGAGTGTGATCAGTCATTACCCACTCCTCATGTCCAGTCAGGTACTTTGTTTGTGTCTGTCTTTGTGTTTGGTATTATCCCTTTACTTTGTTCCTCATTCTCTCTTCCCTCTTTCCTTATTTTTCTCTATTTTCTTTCTCACTTTCTTTCCTAACCTTCTTCATCTTCCTTCAATTAACTGTTTTTTTTCTAATTTCCTTTACGAATTATCATCATCTGTTTACCCAACTCTCCTCCTTCTCGGTTCCCCCTTCGTCATACACCACCTGCCGTCAGCTGTCAACAGAAGCATCACGCGCTCCACTGTTTTGAGTTGAGTGTGGTATACATCAGCAGTTTGCGGTCTGTTAAATACGAGTTAATGGCGCTTCGAGGACCATTAACACGATCTGTGCCTGCGTCGAGTATTACGCCGTCTGCCGCGTCGGGTTGGCCAATGCCACGCCTTATGCAGCCACCATAATTGAAGCAGTGTCGCAAACCTGGCATGGGCAGTGAGGGGGGGAGGAGGGGTGAGAGGAGGGTTAGATTAAGTTAAGTTAACATAAAAGGTGAGATACGATGGGTGGGGGGCTAATCTTCAGGTGTCGACGCGGTGTTTTTGGCTCCCTGAAGTTCTGGGTCGCGATGATTGCCTTAGCTGTTACTCCTGTCATATCAACTGCTGAGTGTTATGTTACGTCGGGTGTCGCTGTTACGGCTGTGTGAGGACTGTTGTGGTGATAGCCGTTACAGGGGGGTGATATTAAGGCTGTTTTCCCACGTTTAGGGATCAAATCAGAGGGGCACAGTTGACGTAATGTGTGTGTGTGTGTAAGGCTTGCAAGTGATACGGTAATAATTATTGAAATCTAGCGTCATCCCGTGTTATTAAGGCGTGTACCTGAGTGGTGGTGGTGATGAACACAGCGACACACAGTCATAGTGTTACATGTGGTGACGCTTTACTTGCCCTCATTATGTACAGTAATTTAACACAGGTGACGACGATTAACAAAATTGTCTTAATTACGTGAATTTGGTACCGCCAGCTTCTTTAGGTGACGTCATAATGGAAGGTATTAAAGCTTTTAGTTAAGTTGTCCAGGTATTGGCCTTGGTAGTCATAAATGTTTAATTCTGAGTATCGACTTGCTTCACCTAACCCCCCCCAGGCCGCTAACCACATAATAAACATAGTCGGCCCGCAAGTTACGCCTATCATCGTACACCTGACACCTTGAGGACTTCACTAGACGATGGAAGAATGATCGTACAATAGTGAAGTTTTAACGTACTGTAATCCCACAATTTTTTGTTAGGCCGGTGATGATTCTCTGCTAGTTCTTGCCTCACACACTGGCGACTGGCGACGCAGTGTCTGATTCTTCCAGTTCAAAAGCCAAAAGGAATCTACTCATATTGCGCCACAGAATAAACAAAAACAAATCTCATTTTCTAGAGGAACTAGATAAGTAATGATTAATCTACTCGGTAAAAATATTCAAAAGAAGGTTTACTACACTCTAAACTCGGGTTCTTTGCACCTTACGCTAAAATAATGTAACTGAGCATTCGTCTGCGTCAAAAACTGATAAATAATCTTTGCGTCACACGAGACTATTTCATTATCATAATTACATCACAGTGAACCGCCATCCTTGGTGTCACGAGTAAATCACCCCCCCCCCCTCCCCTGGTGGTGGGGAGAGGGGCCGTGCTGGTCCTAACTTAATTATGGTAGCATCACGGGTTTGTGTGCGTTTTGGGAAGGTGGCGTCACTTGCGGCTCACACCCTCCTCAAGCACCTGCTGCTTACCACGAGTTCCCTTTCACTACATCTTCCTCAGAAGAACGCAATCAACAGAACTTCTTCAGTAGGACACTTTCAGCAGGCTTAGTAATTAGGAGGGTTTCGTCAGTAGATCATCAATAGGTTTGAGCAGCAGGTCGTCCTCAGTAAAAGGCTTTCTTCACGAGGGTATTTTCTTCTAAGTGCTTTGATTGACTTCCATACAAGACGTTCTCCTTGAAGTGACTGCGTGAAGAGGACGGGAGGTCACCCCAGGCAATATTTTCCACCACGAACGCGTTTCAGGTCGTAAGGCGAAATCCATCTTCACAATTTACTCTTTCCCTGATAGTTTATTTACTTTATTATTCAACAACTGGTTCGTGGCAGCAAGCAATATAAAGTGCGTTATACTCCTCTCGTAGTGTGCGGTGTGGAAGGTTTACCGTGATCTAGCAGCAACACGCATCGCCAACGGTGTGGAGTAAATCGTAACTAAGCTTGTGAAATGTGCTATAATTCTCGCTAATGATTTATTGTGTTGATGGTGACATAAGCTTGGTGAGAGGTATGGGTCAGCGTGGGTGTTAGGTGGGAGGAACGCAGCGGAGCGGGGGAGATATGTGTGTGTGTGTGTATGTATGTATGTGTGAAGGTCATATCATCAGCAGGCAGACCCTACTAGCCAGACCCGGGGAGCGAGGTGCTGCCGATGGTCAGTCGAGACGTGAAGGGCAGCCAGTGCAGGTCAACCGCTGCTTCACTGTGAGTCTGCTCTCTGCTGTGCCGCCACTAGAGTCTGTCTATGTTTACTGTGTCGTTGGAGAGGATTTTGAAGAACTTTGATCATGTTTGGTGTTGTGACTCCGACCAGTGCTGTGTGTTGTGATGGTGTTAAATGTGTTGTGACAGTGATGAGTGTTGCTGTGCGTTACTGTAGTGTGTTGTGGCTCTGTCATTCGGTGTTATGTCATGCTGTGATGTGCTGAAGGAGAATGTTCTGTGATCTTGTGAGCTTGTTGTGTCGTGGCAGGAAAGAATAGCACCGACGGACGACTGAAACCAATCAACGTTCGCTTTTCCATTCACAACACTGAATAGAAATTTTAAAACACTCAAATAAAAAAAAAGACACCCCCCCCCCTTACCCATCAAAAAAGAAATATGCGTAGTGGATTCTGGGAAATATTGTGGACAATAAATTTTCCCTCGTGTGGCACTGCGGTTGAGAGTACGCGTCGTGTAGCTATCACCGGTGTCTTGGCTTGGTATTAGACTGATCACCAGTTTCTCGTCGAGGAGATCATAATCGCAGGGAAAACTAGTCACTTTCATTTTTTGTAAGGCGAAGAGTGAGAGCGGGTCATCCCGGCCCATTATTTGGAGCCCTCGTGCATGAGTGGCAGTGGATCACGCTGACGAAGACTCTAGAGTAGACAAACTATCTATCTATCATCTCTGGACGTGGTAGTAGTAATGGGTCTGGACTCTGTGATAGCCAGAGACACAAAAAATACATGTGGATGATCAGTGGAGATAAGATTGGAACTTGTTGGGTTGTGCAGGACTAGTGAGTGTGTCGGACAGTGAGGGAGGGTGACAGTGTATGTGTGCTGGGGAGGTAGTGTGCTGTTGAGGTGCACACACACACACACCACCGACTGCATCTTACTCCTCCACCACGATCAACTCGTCTGTGGTAAGTGTACACGGAGTTATCTACCTACACAGAAAAGTTTTTACCTGCACGTGAGATTATGTACTGTGCTTACATAGGAGTTAATTTGTTATTTGCGTATATCTATGCAGAAAACATTGTTCATTACATAGGAAGAAATTATATACTCATAAAAAAAAATCTGATTACATGCTTACACAGAAAAAAGTACAAACACGCAAAATTATTCACTTACTTAGATAACACTTACACATATGATAAACATATACGTGCACATAACATTACATACACAAGAAATTAGCACTACTTCACCAATTCCAGGACATATTTACATAATGATATCATGGTTAACTAAGATGATAACAATGATAGCAGCAGGATATCACATACGGGTTGCTTGGCGGTGACTCAGGCAGGGTTGTGTCTGATGTGAATAAATTGGCCCAGAGAGAACCTGTTACCGCATTAGTCATTCAAATATTTTCACGTCATGTTTATAAGCCATTGACCACCACAACTCTTGAATTAATAAATACCACTTATTACCTACATTAGTGGATGGTAATAAGTGGTCGGTGAGCTCTAACAGGGAGGTAGGGTGGGGTAATGAGGAGGCTGTGGTGTGAGCCGGTTGGAAGGGAGGGAGGGAGGGGGGGGGTCGAAGGCAGGTGAGGTAAGGATCAAGACAGGGTTAGCGAGGGCTGGGGAACTGTGGTGGTAGAAAGGGAATGAGTACGAGGGGGTGGGGTGATGGAAAAAAGAGGAAGGGGCAGTGTGGAATGTGAGAGGGAGGGTAAAGTGTTGCAGTCTTGACCTGATTGTCACAGTTAATTATCTCCTCAATGATTACTTAATAAACATCAAGAGTGACGAAACTGACGAGTCCTTGAGGCTGCTCACCGGGCTGGTTCCTCGACACACTGCGCCATGTTTATAAATCACACACAGCCTTAGTCACCTCCCGTGTGATGAATTTTAGACACTCTTGCCGTAGCAACCGTGTGAGTGTAAGGAGGTGGACCGCCGGTGGTGGTGGTATGGCGACCAAGGTTGTGTGTGTAGACCCAACAGTGGTCATGTTTGAGGAACGACACACCCGTATTTGTCCTCTCCCACTCACCTCCTCTCACTGATCCTCTCCACTACTACTGATATTGTTCTTCATGCCACATCTGCTGGCCGACCTAAGCACCACCATCACCCGTAGAAGCTGGAGCTGCGACATCTGCGGGAAGTGAAGATCGGTAATAACAGCGGGAGCGAGAACATCTGCGGTAAACTCACTTCAGCCACAGTAAATTTGTTTGAATTATCGTGTGTACATGAGTGTTGCGTTAGTACTTTAACGCTAAGTTTTCTCAACGTCGTGAGAACTTATTCCGGTAGTGTCCCTGCCCCCCCCACACCTTACCCGTCCCGTGTTTCATCACTCAATCTCCCAGAGTGACGCTGACTGACTCCTGACTTGTTTATTGTGACGAACCATAAGTTCTCCCTTCTGACTATTGCCGATGTTACGTTACGTTACGTCATCTGTCAATGTGACGTGTCGCAAGTTACTCTCACGTTCACTTTTATTTACCGGAACTTAACGTCTAGCTACACATGAAGACGCAATGGAATATACAATTATATACACATGCCGCACAGGGGGTGTATTATACGGCACCATCAATACACCAGCGTGCTCCAGTGGGTATATTTACGCGTGTCTGGTCTATACGGTGGTATATTTATATCTTCCACTCCTACGTTTACCAATACTCCCCCAGCAGCAATCTCTACCACACTCAGTCACCATCATCACCAGGACATAAACTACTTACTATTTTGGATCATGGAGCAAGACACATTGTTGGTCATTAATGAGTTGATGTGATGTGTCACCCCTTACACACACACACACACACACACACACACACACACACACACGTTATGAAGTGTTTTGTGTGTGTGCGTGACGCCGCCTGCCAAACACTCATGACACAGGTGACCCATTGTGCCCCCTTCCCCCCCCGGTCGACTCACACCTCCTATCACCACCCCTCTACACCTCCTGACGTGGCGGTAGGTGATAAAAGTCTCCTTCCCCTGCCCTCTCCACCCACGACCCTTTACACCTCCAGACATGGTGGGCAGTGATGCAACGACATTTTTTCCCCTTTCCCTTTCCCTTCACCTGTCACCATCGTCACTCTAACTCGTAAACATCAAGGTATTCTCATCTCCTGCCCCTCGCCCCTCATCACACATCCCCAGGACGCCCTTGGGTGAGTTCCATTAGTAGGACTCGCGCGGTATGAGATCCCGTTTTCCCAGACGATCCCCAGTGTGACAATACAGCCATCAACCACCGTCATTATCGCTGTCATTGCCGCCATTATCCAGCGAGACCTTCCATTACTCCACCCACGAGTCACATTTACGTATTCAGCTCACATGGGAAAGTTAAATTAGTTATTCTACTTTTTGTTTACATTATTTTAACAAAGACCGACAGTGGTAAACATACGATATAAATATTAAAGTTCACGTTTTGGTTTTGACCTCGTCTCGCTCAGGCCCGTGTTGGATTCTCTCTGGAAGGACAGTGAATTATTTCTATACAACCAGATGACCTCGTTGTGTCCTCGCTCGAGTAACAGCGTGAGTGAGTGACAATAAAAGTAACAACAGCAGTAGCAAGAGTAATAATGCCATGGTCAGTATTGGCGACAACAACACAACCATAAACCTGACCAATGACGTCACCGGGTTGGGACACAAGAGAGTAACGACGTGGCAATAATCCTCAAAGGTAGAACTGTTCCCAGCACTAACAGCGGCAGGAACTAACCCATAACACCTGTGACTCTCCCTCTGATTTCTTAAACACCTGAATATCTCCACACCGATGCTCACCTGTACGTGTAGCGATTTAATATGTGCTCCATTGTTCAGGTGTACAGGATGTGATGTCCGCCGCCATCCGATTCACTACCACCTGAGGTACCTTCGCCCGCCTGTGAATGTACCCTTTGTGAGTTCCCCGTTTATAACATACCTTATAGCGCCTCCAGAGCCAAAAGCTGGAAAGAGTTGCTTCCAGCTTCTCCGAGTACAGTCTCACCCGGGTACCTGGCGCAAGTGACAGCGACCTTGGCAAGTAAAGCAACAAATCCGGTGGAGCGACAGAATAGCATGTTACCATGATGAACGAGGAACAGCAGCAGGTATAATATCAATAAGATACGTGTGGTGAGAGAAGCACAATTAACAGAACATCCAGGGGCAAGAAGAGTGCCAGAAATATCAACAGAAGTTCTGAGGTAGAGAGAGGACAGGAAAGGCCGAGACAGTGACCTCGGGAGTCCTACACGCGAGAGGCACGAACAGACATCGAACAAACAGCCGCTGCAATAGTGATCACATAGGCAGCAGAAGCGGTAAAGGAAGAAGGTGCAGTGGGATGGTGTGACCTTATCAGTATTGTGTATTCCCGCGATGTGCTGGTCCGCCCCCTCGGCCGGCGGCGCGCGTCATGCATCTTCCCAGAACTGATGCCCAGACATGACCGCTCGCCCACACTGCCCTCCCAGCTTTCCTCGTCCTTTTGTAAACCAGTTTTTTTTTACGACGCGACATGGCTGTGTTTTAAGGATGTAAGCGAAGAGGAAAGGAAGAAAGAGAAGATGTCAGGTTGGAGCGCCTCCTGCCCAACTCAAAGAACTAGTTAGAGTGAACACAAAATTATAGATAACTGGTACACATATTGCTCTAAGAGAAGTGCTTTGTTTATGCTGTACCACACTCTGGTATCTTATGGTTCTCGGTGTTCAAGTGTGATTCCGAGACTGTGGTAAGTTGTTGTGGGTGTTAAGCCTGTGTGTGTGTGTGGTGGAGTGTCAAGTGGCGGTGGTGTATGGCAGAGTGAGTTACCAGGGGAAGACGTGCAGGGTCCACCAATTAGTCTAACAACTTTATCAATAAGAATGGAATAAAATTTGACCTAATCGTAGTATAGTTCATCTGGCACTGAGAACACGGTGACGTAAAGCAGAGGTTCACACTTCAGAGGAGATAATGTATTTTGCAAGTCACAAGTCAATGTGGACAAACGAGTTTAAGATAAGTTATAACCTAACCTTGGAAGACTCGGATTCAAGGTAGTTGCATGACTGACTTCTGGAGCGCCGGATGGTTGTCATGTGTTTCCTGTGGTGGGGGGGCAGGTGCAATGGTCAACACGGGGTAATGGCAGTGAAGTGGTCCTATGAAGTGGTGTGATGCAAAGATACCTGGAACTGACCCCAACACCACCTCCTCCATCATCATCAATACCTTCTATTGCGTAATAAGTACCTGATCATTATTACCTAAGACATTTTCAGAAAAACGACGCTGACGGAGATTTGTCATTTCTGAGATCAAATTTTCCCACAATCCTCTCCCCGGCGGCGTTTTGGACAATGTTTCTAAATTTCTTGGATGACGATGATTATGGAGAGGAGCTGTGAACAGACCCACCTGACGAACATTCTACCTACTTGTATTAATCTGTACCAGTGTGTGTGTGTGTGTGTGTATATGTATGTATGTATGTGTAGATCTATTTACGTCTGTATGTCTGTCTTCCCACCCCTCGCCTCCCCGCTCTCTCTCAACGTAAGCCTGGCTGGGTTGTATACAATACCCTTCAGACATTCTCTCCCGACAAAACGGGCATTTGTAGCAGCTTTCTCCCAGTCTATCCCCCTCACCCCCACCTACTGTACCTTTACCTGCTCCATGCCCAAACCCCCCCCTCCTCTTTTGTCAATCTTCCCATCACCGTCAACATCTTTCCCTCTCACTTCTCCTTTGCCCCCCCCGCCTCCTCAATCTTCCTTCCGTATCTTCTTCCATCCGCAATACTTCTATCATCCCTTCTTCTCAATTCACCATCTTTCCTCCCCTTCCTTTCTCCCTACTGGACCGCCCAAATCGTGGTAGATGGAGTAGAGGGGGGCGGGGAGGGAGATGCAGTGGGACCCGTCGGACGTCAGGGACGGTGTGACCCTTAGAGGTCACTTTGGGGTAAATTAGAGGTCAGGCCAGCCCATGACCACAACCCATACCATGTGGGGAAGCAGGAGAGTGTGAGAGGAACGAAGGTAGAAGGAGAGGATGGGGGAGGAGGATGAGCTTGAGGAAGAGGGAAGGAGAGGATGGGGAATAAGGAGGAGCTTGAGCAAGGAGTAAGGAGAGGATGAGGGTGTAGAGATGCACAGGGTGACCTTGACTCCCCACACACAGTCTGGCTCCTGCAGGGCATCAACTTTATCAGTGGTGGCGTCCACCAGCACCACCACCCTCCCTACCAAACACACAAACTCCTAGTCAGTCATCCACGTACATCCGCTACAACAACTGCGTAATTCCTACTTTTATACATTCTTCTCTAACGTTTCGAAACATTATAGAATAACCAGAATGTAGGTCTTCGTGGGGTGTACGAGTACCATTCTTCAGCTCCAGGCAGGACCTCCGTGAAATGATACCGACAGACTCTGATGTTGCATGTGCTATCGTCTCATCTTCCTTGGGCAGCCTTTGAAAGTCTCGAACGTTTGAGCTGACCGTTCGTAGTCTGAAAAAATTCTTGTCAGTGTTATCATTATGTATGTTGTGAAGGTATGTTCAAGGGTTTGCAGATGGCACGATATTATATTATTTGGAAGGTGCGTGTGTGGGAGGGGTGAGTGAGTGGGTGTAAGAGTCATTTATAGTGTGTCTCTCGGCCCGAAAATCAGTCAGTGTCAGGCTAACGTAAACTCCTGACCTAATCCTTGAACATAAAGAATTAGAGTCAGGTTGGGGGAGATATTTATATACCAAACCAACACTGAATTACACCCGAGCACTAATTTGGTCACTTATTTCCTAACTTCTCGGTGTGTCGACACTCCTCACATAATATCGAAGATCATACCTCGGGGTGACTCTTAGTGTGTTATTTTGTTCTGCAGTTTTTATATAATCCCCGCCTGGTCTTACGATCCCAAGGTAAGTGTGTGTGTGTGTGTGTGTGTGTGTGTGTGAGTGAATGAGTGAGACTTTAGAGGGTTGCCCCGGAGCCTGGCACCAGCACCAGCACCCGGGGAAGATGTGCGATCTTTGGGGTTTAAAATATATGATTGGCTAAAAAACAAACCTATTAACCCCCAATCGGCGGCCATCATCAATGTTTCATCACTTGCCGCGGGTCACTTGATATATTATTATTGTTTGTCAGTGTCTGGCTGTTACTCAACTGATGAAATTCTATCACCCCCGTAGTGCCCTCCCCCACCACCACCCAAGAGGGGCCTGGGCGGGAGGCCCCAACCGCCGCCGCTGCCTCCCCCACCGCCCCGTCGCATGCCCCCCCCTCCCATCCCCCAAAAGAGGCCTGGCCGCGTAATATCCACCAAGCGGAGAGTGAGCAGCGTGTTGGCTGGTTGCCAGCTGTGTCGTGCAATACTGCAGGTGTGTGGGAGAGGTGTTGCCCTCCCTCAACCAACCTACGCCCTCTCTATAATTCCTTCTCACCCAAGTTAATCTCCAACAGACTTTTTGTTGGCGTGAGGTGGTGGTGGTGTCAGGAGGGGGAGGCGTGGGTGCTGGTCACGGTGTAGGTGGGAGGTGACCTGAGGGCCAAGGTTGGTGCCGCTGGTTGGGCACGCGAGGCTCCGGCTGGGCAGAGCATGGATGCCTGTGTATGGTGCGTTCATTTCGCGGGAGAGCGCGTGCACACACACACACACACACACACACTATGTGACCTCACACAGTATGGCAAGAGACCAACCCGGGCCATCAGCTGTAAACTATAATAATTTGTATGTTCAGTTCATGTTCCTTCTCCTTTCAGTAATGAAAGCTTTTGTTAAACGACCCACCCACCCCATGTCTTTGCATGTAATAAGTCATTTTTGTCTAATGTATATTTTCAGCCTTCGGGCTGCAGAACTTTCTCAATAAACCGTTAATTATTATTATAATTATTATTATTATTATTACACACATACTGTGTGTGCTAGGCAATTCCGTACACGATATAAGAATGCCACGCCCAACACCTTTCCCCTGGAAGACGTTCACATATCACGCCCACACGGAATTGTTACACCTATCATGTACAAGGTATTCATTGGCCACGCCCTCTCACAGTTATCAACGAGAATAGAGAGACACTTTAAGGAACACTCCTTCTTGCCGTCGGTGCCGCCGTCAGGAAGAACACGGCCCATGACAATGGGCAGCCTCCTCCTGCTGACTCACCCACCAGGGCTCCTCGTTGTGTCTCAGTTGCTTCACCAAAGAGGAGCCACAGTCGAGCTAAACGGGTGTCCTACTGCCCTCAAACGATGGAAATCTCCTTGCGTTACCGGTTAAAATACAGTTATATTGGTAGTTCCCGTAGACTCTGTAAAGGGTTGTGTTGCTCCAGTGGCCTTCATCTTGATGCTGGTGATCTGTTCCTTGAGCAGCAAATATTATACATACGTGGTCATGCTCCCCAACGCTCCTGCAGTCATCACTGACGAATGTTTAGTCTTCTTTACCAAATATAACCATTCAAATTTAAACGCAAATTCTTAAGAGAAGTAATGATAGTTGCCGACGCACGATTATGTTAATGTGGATATAACTCTGGCTCATCAGTTCCCGGTTGTTGATGTTGCCATGGTGGGTCCCGGTAAACACGGGCCCCAGGCGCCTAATGCTAGTGTGTCATGCTGTAAATGTGTAATTATAAACCTGCTTTGGAAAGACGACTCAAATTACGATGCACTTAATTGCAATGTTAATGACTGTAAAATTCTCCGAAAACATTTTAAAATGTTTTCGTTATTCATCGTCGTCTTTTCTCATGTGGTCACAGCTACTACCTTTAACAAAATTTTCGCGAACCTTAAGAAATTTAATCAATATCAAAATCACAACAGAATACATTTTAGACCGGTTAATGACGCCAAAAAATGTCGGGGTGAAGGACTTGTGAAACGTTTCTGTGGCTACGATTATTAGTCATTAAATTCAATCGTAAAATTTCTTAAGGGATTCATTGACAGTGTGACTTAGAGACTGGCACAGTAGGAGCCTCTCTGACGGTCAACATGGAGCAAGGAATTGATTTTAAGGGGAGAAGGTAATGGTTAACTCTCTTGGCATTATTATTATTATCGTCCTATTACAAGTCTATTATTATTAGTAGTAGTAATATGAAACAGTCCTACACGAGAAGCCTTGGTATGACTGACCATAAAAGTGACTCATCCATCACACTATTACTTAACATCATTCATTATGTTATTATTATGGAGAAACAAAAGTGGCGGTATTTAATGTTTTTGTGTTGTGTTGTTCCAGATGTTGTGAGGCAGCAGTATGCGAGTGAACATGCACGAAGGCGGCTTGATGGAGGTGGAGGACCCCCTGGAAGTCCCTCCTGGCCACGCCCTGGTCTCCCACACGCAGCCGTACGCGTCTTCGGCAACGGCGAGTGGTGGGGGCGGGAGGATCAAGGTGGTGAGGCTGATCAGGAGGAACGGGGAGTCGTACGGGTTCAGCCTGCGGGGAGGGCGGGAACACGGCACCGGCTTCTTCATCTCCCACGTTGAGTCTGGCTCAGAGGCCTTCCTCCAGGGCCTCAGGGTGAGTACCTCAGCTTTTCTGACACCCCTTCTGTGTCTAGGTCAGGAGGAGGCTGAGTTCCTCTTGCCTTCTCCCTGCTCTCTGGGTTTGGTTATACCTTGTCATTCTTCATGTCGTCGTTATGTCATATTTCCCTTCATTCTTTTTCGACATTGTTTTCCGTCTGTCGCTCCCATCGCCGTATGTAACATGTTTTATCTTCTGTTTATCATTCTTGTTTCTATCTTAATCTAGTCTGGCTGTACTCAAACTGACATGTCACCTCTAAATTATTTCTGATGCCATCGTGCCATAAAACCTTTAAGTCACTCATGTTGTAATCGTCATGTTTTACTTTCCCAAACATGTCATTATTGCCATGCCTCCTCTACGCCTTCGTCAGTTCATCCCAACTCCACCAGGACCCGGCGAGGAAGTTGTTCATCACGAGGGACCAATCTTAATTCTGTTTTAGTGACTCGATTTGCAGTTTCTCACAAGGACTACACAGTCGTCTCACATAACTAACGTTTCCACCTTAAAAACTGAGGTAGAGCGGCCACGCTTGTCAAGGGTAAACAACATAGTCAGAGTTAAGATTTCCTCTCCAATTGATTTTTTTTTTGTCTGGCTGGTAAAATTATCGTTACTGAAGGTCATCCGTAAATGAGTGATGATACAGGCTGGTAGATCGAGCTATATATGTAGTATAATCGAAATAAGTCTACTATATGTTTCAATATATTAAAAGACATACTAGATAGATTTTCTCATAATAAGTTCTTGATTCATGGAAAAAAATATATGTACTAAGAACATTGCCTGAAGAATGGTCCCAACAAAAGACTTTACACCTGATAGTTAATAAATGTAACACGTGTGTACCCAGACAGTGTAAGAGGGGTAGGTGAGCATATTGCGTCAAGGTGGTATAGAGAAATGTTGAAGACGTGAAATACCACGAGTGCAGCGGCGAGGTGCGTGGCCACGACCCTGGCCTGGGCACGTGTGGGGTGGCCTGGGCACGTGTGGGGACGGGTGTTTGTGTGTTAGGGTCTGGCCATGGGAGAGGCGTAGGTAAGCACGTATGGCCAAGGTAGAAGAGGTGGCCAAGGGAGGAGGGGGGGACTGGAACACTTGAGGAACGATTCACCTTTCCTGGTATTCATTTTTCAACACCAGTTCGTGGATGGATCTGTACAGATGGACAAGGATGACACGCGCCAGGCAAAGAACCCACACATAGTGTCATGGGCCAAGACGTGTAACGCAAACACGGCCACATTACGCACGCACTACACACACACACACACACACACACACCTGTTCCCCGTTAACCTTCATGATATCCCTGAGTATTCGTGTTGTATCAGATAACTTGGAAACCGGAGGCGCTGTTTTATTAAGGTAATGACATTATTACCTCGTGAGTGACAGCTCTCCCACCCCGCAGGCTAGACGACCGAGGCCTCACATCACTTAATCACCCGAACCTAACCTAACCTATAACCTGCACAAAAACCTAATCTTATATCATCCTGCTGTACGTGTGTCCGCCATACAGTCTGGTAATTCTCCCATTGGCGTGAGAGGACGTACGTATGTCTGAAACATTATAAGAAATACGAAGAATTCATTAGTTTCGACCTTGTCCATCTGTGGCTTGCGAGTTTTTGTTGAAGAAGAAAAGTTAGTGTCAGACTGTAGCATATTTTAAGGTGTGGGAGTGTGTGTGTGTAGGGGGGGGGGGGAGGTGCCAAGCTGCTCAACTCCTTCTCACCTGTCATTACTCTACTCTGCCAGTGACAGTAATTACTCTAAGTAGTATCGAGAGAAAACTGTACAGTGTAACGTCAGTACTATTACACTGTGGCATCTCGGGGGTGACTTGTGATAGTATAGTGGCAATGGGTCGACCCCCTCCCCCCCCACACACACACACCAACCACATTATTCATATCCTAAACAAAATTACACGGCCCCTTCGTTTCACACCTTCACACAATTCCCCAAGCACAGTATAGACTTAACTGTGTTTTAAGTGTGTTGCAACAAGTAGCCATTAACTAGACATTTCTCGGGTGACAAGCGGATATAACCTACTCTTTAGAATTACCCGGTAACGGAATTGCGGTCTTCTTCCTTGACCTGCTCACCTTGGTACACACACACTCATACACACTTGAGTCTTGTCCCCTAACCTTTTTTTCGTGGTACCTTTTTGTTTCTGTTCGGGAAAATGCAATTATTTCTTAAGGGTATTTTTTATTCGTTCTTTACCCTCTTGTGGTGAGAGAATTGGTGACTGTAATATCTGTGTGTGTTAAAAAATAAATAATATCCAATAGTTTTGTAATGAAGGTTGAGAATTATTGAAGTGTTGGTGGTTATTTTTTCTTCAACTATACACAATACTATAACGTGTGTGTGTGTGTGCCCGCCCCAACAGCAGTACCGACCAAGGCCAACCAGCCCTCTAACTCCTATCATTCATATTCTTCTCGCTCAATTGAACATTCTACACTGTCATTACCCAATAAGTATTCTCCGATAAAAAACATTACTCAGCCGAAATCATTCTTCAACATTCCCCCAAAAATATCATTCTTCCAACAAACCATTCACTCTACAGCCATAAACATTCAATGAAAAATATGTCTCGGGAAGAAATAGTCATGGCTAATATGACTTGATTTAGTAATACTGAAGAGGTTGAATTGGGGTTAGAGTCCAGGGTGTGTGTGTGTAGGTGTGTGTGTGTAGGTGTGTGTGTGTGTGTGGGAGGGGAGAGAGGTGTAACAGGAAGTGTGGTGCTTAACAGAGGAAGCGGAATGGAGTATGGTGTGTGTGCGTGTGTGTGTACCGCCGGACACCACACCCCACCCTCATCCCTTATTCCCTTGGCACCATCATCCACCACCCCCCACACACTATACAACCAAGGACGGAAGCTACAGTTAACAGCGGAAATTGTTGTGACGCCAGGCAGAAAAATATGTTGGTTGGATGTTGAGGAGTGATGTGATTTTTTGGCTTGTCGTGTTAATGTACGGGAGTCTGGGGTGGGGCGGGGTGGGTGTGGACGTGTGGTAGGTGGGTGAGTAGAAGCTAGCTGGTCCAACGTATGGTTGTTAATTCGTACGCCAATTCTCCCTAACTGGTATTATTTTTTTTATCTTGACATCAATTAATTTAACATTTGACGAACAACGACAACTACTACAACAATACTGATAATAATAATATTAATCTAAGTGTAAATTATATTCTTTAGGACAGACGAGGTCATCAAGTAGTAAAGAGAGACTGACGATATCCATAGGTCAAGTCAGGTCAGGTCATTAGCAAGGTCACCTCGGCAGTAGAGTGAGAGTTTCCACAGTTTCATCATCTGTAAGAAAGTTGAAACAGGTGTGTGTGCGTGTGTGTGTCCGTGTGCGTTTTGGCGGACTTGTTATGCACGTTTATTTCCCTCATTAATAGAAGTATATAAATATGCATCTATTGCAACACGGAAATATAACTTGAGTTTTATTATAATGTTGGTCATGACGCGGTAGCCGGAACCAGTGCTTGAGATAATCACAAGGTCGTAAAATTCTGTTTGTTTTGTGTGTTTGTGGACGGGGTTTAGTTGTGTTTGTGTTTTGTGTGTGTTATGTATGTGGAGTTAGTTGGTGTTCATGTAGTAGTGTTTGTTATTGTTCTCTCGTTACCTGGATACTAATAGGCCTGTGGATCTACTTCCCTGTTTCCAGGTAATGATTTCCTTGTATGTTTGTATTTTCTGCAATTTTAGTTAAAGTTGGAGCCAATACACACGGAGGCCTTCAGTACCTGTGTTTAACCATGCAGCAGTAGGCGGTACATTTTAGAATAATGTTACGTTTTTATTGTGCAGTATATCACCGGCAATTTTTTGTTTACTTTTTGTTTGTTTACTAGGCTCTGATGGTGGAAAATGATTTTCCGAAACGTTAGTGATTAAAGAAACCCAACTTAGTCAAGATGTTTGTGTTCTCCCTGGTTCTCCTCTTCGTTAGGGAAATATCGTTAAGGGTTATTAAGGGTCAGGGTTTCTGGTAGGACGAGGCAGTGTTACCAGGTCAGGGAACCGGAACCACGAGAATCTTAGCTCGTTTTCGGTGTCATTTTGGCCACCATTTTTGTTTTTCGTTGCATAAATGAACCAATTAAGGTTTCCTCTGATAGTCTCTGTTTTGGGGGAAGACATATCGTGTGAAATTTTCAGAATCATGACTGAGGATGTCCGGGTGTGGCTATGACTCAGCCTTAGTCACAGTAGTAATTATGACAACTTCTCACCTTCACTCATCCCTGGCCAACCTCGCCATCTGAATTCCACCACAGGAGGCCACAGTGTTACACAACCTGGGTTTGTCAATCAATATTACCACTTGCCGTTTTATCCGCGTCTGGTACACCCACACGCACTCAACGCCCATATCCGGTAGCACCCGTGTGTGGCATTACCAAAGGAAGGCAGGATCAGCAGTGTGGTGTCCTGGGATAGGAGGCATGAGTCGGGTGTACCCGGATCATAAGAACATAAGAAAATAAGGAGTCTGCAATAGGCCGGTTGGCCTGTGCATGGCAGCTCCTGTCTAGAGGTACAACACCTCTATCATCCTTGAATCTATCTAGCCTCCTTTTAAAACTTTCCAGCATTCCAGTACTTACTACAAAGTTGCTTAGCTTGTTCCACTCGTCTACCACCCTATTTGTGAACCAGTTCCTTCCTATCTCCCTCCTAAATCTAAACTTATCCAACTTAAAGCCGTTGCTTCGAGTCCTATCCTGCTCGGATATTATAAAAACTTTATCTATATCCCCTTTATTGATTCCTTTCACCCACTTAAATACTTCTATCATATCTCCCCGCACTCTTCGTCTTTCTAGGGAATGCAAGTTTAGTTTCTTTAATCTATCTTGATATGGAAGGTTTCGAAGTCCCGGAATCATTTTCGTCATTCTTCGCTGCACCGACTCCAGTGAATTGA